TTAGAGCTCGTTCGAAGTGAATAGTGCGGAAATAAATGGCTTTCTCTCTGATTCAGAGAGAATAAATGCTTAGTTTTGCTTTTGTGTTTTTTTTGTTTGGATTTGTGAATACCCAATAAATGAGGTATTTTCCTCTATTTATAGGGTTGGGGAACTGTATCCCCACCAGTAAGGAGGTGCCACGTGTCAGCCTGGGATTGGCTCCCACTTGCCTTCTCTGGGACTGACACGTGGCGCTCTCTGATTGGGCCACGTGGCTAGGGTAGTTTTTACCCTAATCAATTTAAACTTAATCAATATAATTAACTAATTTAATATGTATATTCATGTCTAATAGTCCTCATGTATGATTTGTAATTTTCTATTTGATATTGTAGCATGCATAATTGCTTTTTTATTCTTATTCCTGTTTTTCATGATTAGATTTTTCACTGTTAATTGTTTCAATACCTATTATGTAATCACATCAAATCCTGAGTTAGTTTTGGACTACTGGTTTGGGTAAATTTATAATAATAATAAACAAAGTGATAAACTTTAGTTACAAACTTTATACTCTAACCGAAAATGATAAGTGTTTACAATTATACTCAAACCTATATATCAATCAATAAGATAATACTAAAACAGACACCAGATTTGACATGTGTCACTTTCTAGTGCTGTTTTTTCCCTCCAAAATAATATTTTTTTTTTCATCAAATCTTCTTCAAATATATTTTCTATATTATTATAATATATAACCTTCCTATTTGATCACCATATGTTTTTGAAAACCTAAAAAAGATTCACACCATTTATATTATAGCAAATATCTAGAATTGTCATCAAAATAATATTCTATATATCGCTAATGTATATTTCCAAGTCAAATCTTCAAATACATACATTCAAATCAATAATTTATATACTAAAGTGAAATTAGGCATGACACATGTATGTCATTTCATTATTAAAAATTTTCTCTCCATTTTCCTTTTTTTTTTCCAATATTTCAAGAAAACAATTTAGAATTAGAATATATAATATATTCTTTCCAGTTTGGACAATCAAATTTTTTCTATATATATACACTTAACTCGAATATTTTTTTATATCTTTCAATCATTTTATATTTTGTATGTATTTAAAAAAAATGAACAAAGATTAAGTAATTATTATATGAATACTTTTATTTAAAATTATTCCTATAATATTATAATTTTTTCCTTTGTTTCAACTTTACTATTTTTGCAATAAAGTTTTGGCCAAATTAGAAAATAACACTAGAAAAAAGACACGATTTTGATAATAACACCTAAAAAAAAAGTTTTATTATAACACCACCAAAAATCCCAAAAATTTGATTTCACCACCCACTAACGGATTTTTGGATGGATACTGTTAGTGGGACCCACTAGGGACACGTGTCAATAAGGTATTGGTTTTTTTAAAAAAAAAGATAAATAAAAATATAAAGTAAAATTAAAAAAAAAAAAACCCCTAAACCCTAACCCAGTCACCAGTCCCACCATCGGCGGGCCGTAACTCCACCGACGGAGACCCCCACTGCTGCCGGAACCCCTTCCTTCACCGAAAAAATCACCAGCCATCACCCCCACCGACATCAACCCCTCGCAAATCCCACCAATCAGTGGAAATCACCACCACAGATCGGCGAGAACAACCACTTCCGTTCGCCTCCACCGCGAAATCAATAGGTCGATTTCGGCCGGTTTGAAGGTGAGGGGTAATTCCAAGGGTGGTTTTTTTTGGGGGGGGGAAGGGGCTAGGTGGTTTTCGTGGGGGAGCTGTGATGGGTGGGGGTGATTTTTCGGGGAGAGGGAAGGGGGAAGGGGATTTGGGGGGGGGGGGGGGCTAATGTCGGTGGGGTGATGGCCGGTGATTCCGCCGGTGAAGGAAGGGTCTCCGGCGGCAGCGGGGTTCTTTGTGGTGGAGTCACGGTCGCCGGTGGTGGGGCTGGTGGCTAGGTTAGGGTTTAGGGGATGTTCTTTTTTTTTAGAATTTCCTTTTTCTTTTAAACCAATAAACAACTGACACGTGTTGCTAATGGGTCCCACTAACGGTCTCCATCCAAAAACCCATTAGTGGGTGGTGAAACCAAAATTTTGGGATTTTTGGTGGTGTTATAATAATTTTTTTTTGTGGTGTTATTATTAAAATCGGGGTCTTTTTTAGGTGTTATTTTCTAATTAAGCCTAAAGTTTATTTCAATTTTAGAAAAATCATTTTGGTAACATATATATGTACAAGTATATCTTTTATTTTTTCTTATAAGTAGTACTAATAATAGCATGGCCATTGCATTGGTATTAAACTAGATTTTTATTTTTTTAATATAAAATCACTTAGACCTTATTTATTTATTTTAAAATAAAGTCTAATGTTTCGATAACCTTGTCATTGATATAAGTATAAAAATAATGGTGCACGTTCCATTATTGTTGAATTAATATTGCAATTTATTACAATATACTCCGTAAAATCTAGTAATAACCGTGCGATGCGCGGGACTTAATCTAGTTAATAAAATTAACAAACGAACAAAAGATAACGAAGTAACTATTATTGAACCAACCTAAAATAATGATTCTTATGTGCATTCTTTAGGGTTTATTTTAATTGATTATATTTTTTGTCATGAAATTGCAATTATTTGGTAGACTACTAAGACTAGCCTCTCATGAATTATTCCTCTAGCCCTTCTCAATTTTATCATGAGTCCAGTAGCTTATTTTAGAATTATAATGGGTTTATAATGGAAGCCTATGCATAGATCACACATTCCTTCGTAATACCTTTTTTCGTTGCCTCATCGTTAGATCTAAACATATTTTACAAATATCCCTATAAACAGTTGTTGCATATTCTTACTTGTCCCTTTTTAGATAGTTAATTTACGCACCAAACATATCCATGTGTGCAATTCGCTTTCTCATAGTCAGATGAAAATAAATTTGTGTGTTTATAATGTGTCAAACCTTAAAGTTATCACATACGATGTAATATCTCAAATTCTCAATCATAATAAATGAATGGGTCATGAAGGTTGGTACTTGTTAATGAGCAATCTCCACTTTATAACCTTGATAATAGGTTTATTAAATGACATTTTCGTAAATTAAATAAGTTGCATTGAAAATTGTGTTTTAAAAAAATATATTTTTATTGTTTGTGGGCCACTCTGACAAGTTGGACAGATTTTTGGAGTTAACACTGTTAACTCACCGTATGCTACTATTTATCTTCTTCTTCATGTTCATCTTCTTCTTCATGTTCATCTTCTTCCTCTTGTTCATATTTTTTTTCCCTCCCATCTTAATCTTCTTCCTCCAATCTCTGCTCACTTTCACCTCCTCTTCCAAGTCCGTTTGACACCATTTTTGCCGGCGTAAACGAAACCCTATTCACAAAAGGAGAAATTAATGGCATGGTTAGCCCTAAAGGGTAGCTGAGTTTTCCTTCCTCCATTAAATTCGACTTCGTACCACCATGGCCGCCGGAATTAAACGATAACCCAAATAATAAAGTGAAAATTACGAACATGGTTAACCTTAAAGGGTAGGTAAGGTTTTCTTCCTCCATAGATGTCAATTGTTCGAGTCATAGTGAGAAGGGGTATTTTCCACCATCGAAATTGAAGATTGAAGGAGGAGAGAGAAAATCAGAAAATACCAAAAAGTTAAAGGAGAAAAGAGAAAACAACAGTTAACCAAAAGTTAGATGTAATTTACATATACACCCTTTAATAAACAATTTTATTTATCAAGGTTATAAACTTGGATTTTCTCCTTGTTAATTATCAATCAACTCATATTGTTGATTAGATTTCTTCTAGTCTTAGAATTGGCAGAAAAGCTGAGCCAAATAGCCAATAGGCCCTCATTCCCATTTTCTCTCCTCATGCATTTTTTTTAAGTGTCCAATTAGCACACGTCAACGCAAAATTTTAATCCATGATATCTTTTATTATCAATAAATAAAATATATACAAAATTATGTTTGGAAGCTATATAGTAATATATATAAATATAATAAGTACGTAAATGACTATATTTTTTTAAAATCTTATATGCATAGTATAAAATCTCAAATATTTGTTAAAGTGTTTGGCCCGGTTTGAAAATAGTGTAAAAATCAATATCATGTTTGTTATGCAGGTTTGAGAATGAAGTTTGGGATTGGACCTAAAATTATATGCCCTTTTTTTGCACCAAAATAATGTCGTTAATGAATAAGTAAGCGAAGAAATCTTGTTGAGGATATCTCTGTGAAATTAAAACTTCAGCTGCCATCTTCTAATCGCAATGTTGATTTTTTTTCCCACTATTTACGCACTATGTTATTCGTCTTCGTATATAGTTTTAGAATTTTAGGGTTTATATGTATATATAATTTTACATAAAAGTAATGAAAATATTGATGGAATAATGCAAGCGTAAATTGTTCAATTTTGTAATAAAAAGAAACAGAGGGTAATACGAGTGTATTTCTTTGGTCTTATTTTCATGAATTTTCAATAACTGATTTTCATTTCTCATCCCAACCTCTATTCTCCAAACTCCCATATCAATTGTAGAGGTTTTAAAAATTAATCCACCTCAATAAGCCCAACTTATCTAAAAGTGTTTAGTTGTTGACTTGCATGGATGCAATAATGATCTATATTACTCTCTCCGTCCTATAATAAATGGGACGTTGAACTATTTTAACTATCAATGTATTATTTTATTTTTTTAAATGGACACTATCAATGTATTAGCTTTGACCATAAATTTTTACTAACATGATAAAAAAATATATTTTATCATAAAATATGTTATTAGATATGTATTAATATAAAATTGCATAATATAACTTTTAAAATAATTTTCATTAATATTTAATTATATAAAAATAAAGTCAACATAGTGAATCGACAAGTGTTGTTGACTGCGCCAGTTATTTAGCGACAGAGGTAAAAGGGGTATTTAAATTTTTATAATGGCTCAAACCCGAAAAAGACCCGAGCCAATGAGACATCAATCCCACGCCTTGCTAAAGAAAAAACCAGACTGTAAAGGGTAATTGAAGCTGAAGGTGCCTGAAAGTTAAAGCAAAACTTAGTTTGATCTCCAAAGAAATCAGAAAACAGAAAAAATGGAGATATTTGGTATGGACTTTGGGTGTGTAATTGGATCTCTTCGCCATGGCCAAATTCCAGAAAAAGATTGCTTGCTTCCTCTTATTTCTAAGCTACTTGGTTATTGTATCGTTGCCGCTTCCACCACTGTCAAGATCCCTCAGGTTTTCTTTTCACCTTAATTTTATTTTTTTGGGAAATTATAACACCAAAAGCCCTAATTTGTTGTCAAGTGATGTAATTTGTTCAATTATTTTGTAATTATTATCAGATTATTCACTGAATTCCTTTTTTAGCGGAATTCTGCATTAATGGTCTTCTTCTCTCATGATTATGCGGTTGTTTGTTGATTGTTTAACCTACAAAAAGTATCAATTGTTGTTGTTGGTGTTTTTTTCCTTCTAAATTTAAACAATTTAACCAGTAAGAAACATTATATTGTGATGAATGATGGTATAATTGATTTTTTTCACCCCAAGTATTCCTTTTTTCAATGTCGTAATCGGTTTTTGGAGTGTTGAAATGAAATTATCTCTGTTTGTGATAGCAATTGCAGGTTTTGGTGTTTATCGGTGGATTTAAATTGAAGAATTTTCCATTAAAGTTGAGTTGTGGTTTTGAATTTTAATTATGGGCAGGTACATTGATGATAATTTTTGGTACACTTAGTAATTTAATTAAAGAAATGGTAAATAATGATCTCCGTACCATGTTAAATTTTTTCAAGTCTATTTTTGTTACCATTTACATCCAGTGGTACACTGGTACTGGTATCATCCGGAGATGTGAATATGAGTGTTAGTAATGTCAACAAAGAAAATTTGTACTTGATGCTTCCTCCGTACCTTAAAGTTTGCCCCTCGCCACTTTTCACTTGATTAAGAATTGTTTGAGTGGCTAGGTAGATTGGTTGTTTAGTATGTGCGGTAGTAAATAAGGTAGAGAGGAATTGTGAGGACCATGCTAATCAAAATGGAAATGGGGCTATATCTATCAGGGACGACCAAATAAGGAAAATGGGGCAATCGGACGCAGACAGGAGTGAAGACTAACTCCCTTACACATTCACTTGGGGCGTTCCATGTAAATTGAACAAAAAGTTACTACGTATTAATCCTATTATTATTCACTTAGCTTACCCTCTACTCTTAGTTTGTCGTTGACTTGCTAATAATTTTCTCTTAAAATTTTAGGCATTCCAAAGTTCTGTGGCATGTCTTAGGAACACTCGTATCTTACAACTTGTAGTTCTTTCACACTAATTGTTTCCAAAGCTTTAAATTGCTATCAAATTGATTCTGTCTAATATATGGCAGATATTGAAGATCTTGGAACACAAAAGTGTTAGAGGGCTTAGTGTGGCGGCTTTTGAGCTTGAAGTTATTGGTTACACAATTTCTCTAGCATATTGCCTTCATAAAGGCCTCCCCTTTTCAGCTTTTGGGGAATATGCATTTCTGTTGGTGCAAGGTACATAATTTAACTTCACCTAGAATTTTAGAACTCTCCCGTCAAGAAGAGATTGACAAATCTCCACTTTCTAATTTAAATATAATCATAGTTTAGTGAAAGTTGTTTATCCAACTCATGTTCTTACATGTTAAACCCAAACAAAAGATATAATAGTATTAAGATGGGCAATCAAAAAGGTAAAATATAATACTACCTCCGTTTCTTATTATTTGCAACAAAGGGGTATTATTTGTGAGAGAAATTATTCCTTTGTTGCAAATACTAAGAAATGGAGGTAATAGTATCAAAATTAGTGATCTTGTTTTCGTCACCTTTGGGGTATATTTTATTTTGTCAGTTTTTTTTTTATTATTTTTTTTTATTGGGAGGGGGGGGGGGGGAGGTGGTGGGAGGCTTATTAATTTATATATACATGTTTCATTTTTGTGCCTGTTATTTTTCTTGCATCCATTGTAAGAAATTTCAGGAAGAGGATTCATCACAGAACATTAGTTTTACAGATTAAAGATGCTTACCCTTTGCTGCTTCGGATGAACTTTTTATAAGTTATCATTTGACCTACTCTGTTTATGCTGCACTATAGAGTTTGAAAGAATGTTGGTGCAATATTTTTTTTTTTCTTTTAATGGCTGTTAGCCAAGTTTCTTAAGAATTTTTTTTTCCAGCTTCAATCCATTTCATGATTCACATGTTCAACTAGTCTTACTACTTACAGTTTAAAGTATTTATTCTTTTATTTTATTTTATTCTATTATTTTTGATGAATGCTTAATATCCATTAAGATTTTGTTCAATAAATTTCTTCTTGCAGCTATAATTCTTGTTGGGGTAATCTATTACTTTTCACAACCTGTGGGAACTTCAAGATGGATGAGGGCACTATTGTATCCTTTGCTTTGTGATCTGTTTAACATCTTTATCATCTAAAAAAAATTCCTCTCTTTCTTTAACATTATTAATTTAGATATTGTGGCTTGGCACCAACAATTTTGACTGGTAAAATAGATCCCATGCTTTTTGAGGCTTTATATGTGAGTGAATATTCTTAGATGATTTCACAATTTGTTTAATATCTGCTGAATTGGATATATATTGACAACTATATGGTATTGTTTTGAGCAATATTCCACCTTTTTGTTTGTTAAATACATACTCATTCTGATCCATTTATCACAGGCATCACAACATGCAATATTTCTCTGTGCAAGGATTCCTCAAATATGGAAAAATTTCAGTGTAAGTTGAACTCTTGAATGTTGGATACTGTTAGGATAATGAGAATGACAAGTGTTGCTGTATTATGTACTCCGTATCTATTTTTTTGTTAGTATTTCCATGCTTGAATTTAAAACATTTTAAGGCATATTGACGCAATTGGCTCTTGAAGCCATGACATAACTCATTAAGGTTAGGGGTGAAGGTGCATGGCACAAACCACCATTTAAAAAAAAATTAGAAATTTGTGTACTGAATATTATTACTGAAATTAGCTGCACTGAACCTTTGATTTATAGAAGTGGACTTAAAAAGAGATTCTTAGCTTAATAAAATACTTACAAGTGCAGTAATTTTGTTGGTGTTAGAAGACTCCGTTTACACCTTAAGTGCTTCTAGTATATAGGGTGCCCTTATGTGATTTTTATTTGGATTTATAATAGTATTTTACATTTGACCCTTGTTGGATGCAATCCTCCTGTCTCCATTCTATGATCTTCTGAGCCCAATCAAGGGGGTCATAACTGGCTACCAGAGCACATCTACTGTGCCTTAATATACAGTGTGTTGAACCAAGAATTGGCTACTTCTTTGTTGAAATGATTAGACCGGAGTTGAGCAGGAACTGGAATACATGGTCAAAATATCAACCAAATTGTTGAATTCATTGTCAAGTCAAAAAATTCTGGAGGAATTTATTTATTTACCCAGACAATCGACCATTCTACCTGCTCATGAATATCTTTTCTTTGATTTCATTGTTTCAGAAAATTTAAATTTTCAACCCTTTTGGTGACAAGCCACTGTAGTAGCTTTATCTTCCGAATGTTAATTCTTGAATAAATATCTAGGTAACTATTGTTCTTGACTATACTAGAGACGGATCTTAATGTCACATCGACTTATGACTTTATGTTACAAAGCAACCTTTTATGCTGTTTGTTCTTGCTAGTAAGAGTCCATATGATTTGTCATTATGCTTATATATGGGCTTAACATTTTTGACGACTCTCTTCATAACTTGCAGAATAAATCTACGGGGGAACTCAGCTTTCTAACATGTTTTATGAACTTTGGGGGTTCCATGGGTGAGTATATACTATTATACATGATTTCAGACATCTCTTTTTATTTCACAACATTTGAGGTTCATTGTTGCATATCGTGATTTCTGTTTGCTGTTTTGCAGTGAGGGTTTTTACCAGCAACCAGGAGAAAGCACCTACAAGTGGTATCCTTGCTCTTTATTATATTGTTGCACAGTTCTACATATTTTGATGGTATTTACTTTGTTAGTATATATTTGACGAATGAGGCACTTCTATATGGGGATTACTTATTTTATCTTTATCATCCTGCTTTGCATTTTTTTAATTAATTTTTATACTTCCTCCAATGTGGAGGGGATGCACAAATATTTTGTGAGAGAAAAGAGATAGAGATAAAAAGGGGACCCATGTGATGAGGAGAGAGAGAGAGAGAATCATTGGCCAAATGAAGTAATGTTAGCAATTAATTTGCAACTTTCCAAAAAGGAATAGGTTGCAATTAAAAAAGAACGGAGGTAGTATATCACAAGGGTCTTTTGATTATAATTGTCTTTAGTCTTTTATAAGTGATTAGGGACAACGCTATCTATGGCTAGACCTCACCAATCACTGTACCTTGGCTAAAATTGGTGGATATTGGATAGTTTGTAATGAGTTGCAGAGGACTTAAGTCAAAATTATTGTCTAGACCTTTCACATTGTTTTCCCTATAAATGTGGACTGCTGGGGAAATTTGGCCTAGGTTTTGACCTTTAACCCTTTAATGATTGATTCTTCATTTTGGATACAAAACATGCAAACTTTCCTTTAATTGCAGAGTTTGACACTATTTGGTAAGATGCAAACACTATTTGTTCCTGCAATACCCAAAATAGCCCAAATAGAACTCTGCAGTACAACACTACAAACCCCAGAGAGGGGGTGGGGTGGGAAGGGGATTGCATAAATCAAACACTATTTGTTCCTGCAATACCCAAACTAGACCAAATAGAACTCTTCAGTACAACACTACAAACCGGGGGGCAAGGAGAAGAAGCACATGCAAGGTGAGAGAGGGTGCGAATTTGATGTCACCTTCATTTATGGAACATCTCCATTCACTTGGAATTTATGATGCTAGCATAGTTGTTCATGCAAGAGGGAAACATGCAAGGACCACATCTTGAGTGAGAATGTGATGTATGTACCTTCACATATGGAACACATTCATCCACTCGGATTCTCATGATGCTAGCCATAGCTGTTCATGCAAGCAACTCTTTATTATAATACTTGAAAACTTTTGAAGGGCTTTGTGTTCCCAATAAAATGCATGTATTGTCATACCATTGTCCTGCCATGCCATTCTAGCCCATAACCACGGGAATCTTGATGTCTCCTTGAAGAACTGCTATGATATATTTCAGAGGTGCTTTCATATTGTTATGGATTTTTTTGGGAGATTTAATTGGACTTTAGTAGGATTGTTCTGGCTTTGACTCAGTTTGATTAATAAATATGTAAATGCTATCAAGGATGGCACATATTGATTTCTATGGTAGTTAAAGTGCCTTTTTTTTTTCCAAACGCAGTTTGTGTTACTCATTTGAAATATCAGCAGGGCAGCACATTTTAACTTAGGAACTTGGACAATACATATATGAAATTTTGGTATGATGGTTCACAGTGAATTGACAGTACTTTTACTTATCCTACAAATTACACTAGTGATTTTATTGGTGACTATCCCCTTGAACCCTCACATTTTCTTGGATTTACATCCTTCTCATGAACCTATATTTTGTGGTTCGACAAGGTGTTACTTTGTGACTAGATTGTGTCAGCCATGGTTAATTGACCAACCTGGTTTGACTTTCATCGAGTTGTAGATATGGGAGTGGCATAATGTGGGCATGAGGTCACCAAGTGATATGGTGGCATTAGATCAAAGTTAAGGGAATAATGTTTAACTTAAAAGAAGGGGAAGAAGGAACACAGACTTGTTTGTTCCATAATTTTTTGATAGAGAATCTTCTTTAGAAGATAAGAAATTTGGTGTGGAGTTTTGGAAACCTAAACAGCAATGAGATTGAAGCAGGTGTTTGAGTCCTTTAGGTTATTGGTGGCCATGTTTCAAGGAACGTGCAACTCCAAGGTTTGTTCGACATCTTGGTTTCCAAGCACCTTTGGAGATAAAATTGGGAGCTTTCTTTTACGTTACAATTTTTTTTCCCTATTTGGATGCCAAGTTAAGAGAACGCAAACCAACTCAAAATTGCCAAACTTCTATCAGGTGCACAAAGTGGAGGCTTTTGAAATGTGTAGTGGAAAGATGGTTAACCAATTATGTTGAGGATGGCACATCAATTTAGTAGACATGAGAGGTGAGAAAGGTGATGGGGAAGGGGGAAGAGGAAGAGCAAAAGAGAGAAGGTAGCAGTGTGGTGAGGAAGGGGAGGATGGGTGCTTCCCCTGCTTGTTTGTTGCTGCAGGAGAAATGTAGGAAAGCCTTATGATGCATCGAATATTAATAGATGTGAAGTCACTTTTACAGATTTATAATATGATCAAGGAAGAATCCAGGTATAGGTTACACTCATACGGTTTGTTTTTCCATGGTCTTTGTAAATTGCAATGTACTAGTTTAACTGTAAATATGCTGCCTTTTTCATCTGGAAATTTGTTTAATTCCTAAATTATGCCTTTTACATCTGGAAATTTGTTTAATTCCCTTTATATGCCTTCATTGTAATTTTAGAAGTTAAATCCGATGTCCAAATTCTTTATTATTCTTTTACTTCCCTTGATTCACAAATTGTAATTCCTTGACTCTGTTTTAGTTGTGATGGGCTCTGTCCTTGGTGCCATAACGAATGGTACCTTGTTAAGCCAGATAATTATATACAAGAAGTCTGACAAGAAGAAAGAAAAGAAGGTTGAGTAAAGAAATGTTCTGTTTCTGAGACTGCTTCGCCATGGCTGTAAAATCTCCATGTCACATTATATATCTTTTTTTTGTAAGCAACACTGGCAGTTTCAATCTGTAGATTTTATTACATTTATACACACGGGATGGAAGATAATCTGATACTAGTGACAAAAATAGATGTTGCTGATTCAAAAGATGAGCAAGATATTCTTTTATTCTGTCATTAATACTCTGTTGATTGTTACTGATGAATGCATGCTATTTCATTGTCTCAATATCACTGAGAATGATCTTACAAATCCTTTAGCTTCAAAACAAATTGACTAGTGAATTAGTTATTGATCATGATAACTGATTTTCCAGCATTACATATCCAATTATTCAATGATCTTCATACAGTCATACTTGAGTTTCTACTAGACCTTGTGGTATGCCGGTTTGTCCCACGTGGCGCTCATGTGGTTTTGCTGATACAAACTCCACCAGATTAACGGTTTTCCCGTTAAGAGACGTGAGAGGAAAAGGTTAGGGCATAGCAACTTCACAAATTATATGTAGGGATGCACCAAGAAGTCTTCCATCAATCTCTCAATACTGTTATACAGTCAATGTGAGGGTACAGGGGAATTAGAAGGTTACAAAAAATAAAAAAAATAAAAATGAAATGTATGATTAGCGATTCTCAAGGATCATGAATATCATTGATTACTTATTACATCGGAGTTAACTACAAAATGTATAGAGGAAAACTCAAGAATCTAAACTCTCATCTTGAGTTATTCTCCTAATCAATCATTCAAGCAGCTCTTCAACTACCTCTCTTTTCAGACAAAGAAGATAAGCAAGCAAGCCAAGTACCGGTATGTATCTAGCGTATTTTACAAACATAAGTCTGTCTTCCGCAACATTTGGTAGGTTTTCACCAATCAACCAAGGCTGAAAGATCATATAAAGAACAATATCCCAGATAAAAGCATAAGCGAGCCTCTCGGATCCCAGATAGCTCAACAAGAAATTCCACCTTTCATATAAATTTCCAAAATCACCATCCATTCTTCCATATAGAGCCCACAGAATGGATATTGCACACACAGCACCACCAATCAAACCAACTACTGGAGCACCTTTGATCATCACAGTACCCAGTTGAGAGGGCTTTCTTGGGTAGTCACTTACATCAGCTCCATTTAGTCTGATAGCCATGTAGGGTATCAAGAATGCTATGAACCAAAAATAATGACAGTACTCAACAACTCTTGCTTAAAATATAAACTCCGAATATTTATATATAAAAGCATAGCCACAGAAAAATATGAATCCTATAATATATCACAAATAAAAGAAGTTTAAACCAGCAAATCAAGATGGCTGAATTATATAACTTAATGTAAGAAAACTGGAGAAGCAACTTTACGGTAACTTCATTAGAGTGCCTATAGCTATTAGGATATTAAACGTAAGGACAAATTCTAGGGTAAATAACCAAGACACATTCTCCAATTGTTGGAAAGGAAGCAAAATACATGGACCAAAGATGAATTACGAGGAACTAAGCCTTCATTAGTTATCAACATGAAGAAACATTTTTAAAATGTGGGTGATATTTACATGTCACACAATGTTTACATTTCCAAGGTGAACGATTTTGTTATATTGCTCTAGATTTTCTAATGTACTATTTATGAATACTCTTTCAAAGTTTTACTTCTGAGTTCTGACTACCATTAAACAAGAAGAATTTTTATTCAACTTCATCAGAACAGTAGAGCAGAATCAGGCAAGATTTTCCAGACTAAGCAAAAGAGTCATCAGTAGAACTTACTGTTTGTCAGAAACATCTGAAGGCCCCATAACGCATCCAGGGATCCCTTGTACCTACTGTTCTTAAAATCAGTGTATAGTAGAGGAGCAAACATGAAGGTCCATGCCACAACAAAGTTGAAGAGCCCTTCAGACATCTAAATTGAAATCAGAATTCTCAATCAGAGTAGGTAATTAAGATATTGAATGCATTGGTCTTGAACTTCAGTCACACTACTTACTGGGTGAAGAACTGGGGCTTCTATAGCATGAATACCAACTACTCTGTCAGAAATACACAATACAAATGATTAGTACTTCACGAGGTTAATAGAAGACAAAGCAGAGTATAGGCCAGTTACCAGTCTACGTAAAAGAGGATAAAGGTGGGCATATATTAAAAAATGCAAAAAAGTTATATGATGACATCACAAATTAACATAATTTATGCTTTAATCATAGTGACAGTCATTTTATGCTTCTGTCATAGACAGCAGAACAACGCTTCATTCTATGGAAGTATACAACTTCTAGTATATCATAAATTCAAAATGGCAGAGGTGTAAACAACCATATGAAATCAGTAATTGTGTACAGATGGAATGTTAGTGAGAGCTCGATTTTGTTAATGTATACAGTCACAGCCCTAATGATAGCAAATTGGCCTATGAACCTCATTTTGTCGTAAGTCATAATGTGTAAGATGATAATTACATCCTCCTTTTCATAATGACTAGCCCTACCTGGCTACTTGCATCCATGTGCTTCATATTCGCCAGAGTTCACTCCCATATAGTTATCCCCCCCTCGTGACAATCTCATGAGTTTATTCTTCATTCTCTCAACAACAAAAAAGGAGCAAAATTGCCATCAGTTGTAAAACTCCCAGAACAAAAATTAACTAGCCATATTGCCAGTAATATTTGAAATACTGAGTCTAGGTCTGCTTATAATGAAGGTGGAGGTATTCATGTGCTCCAAAGAAGGCTCAAGTATGCTTTTGCCTTGGCTAGAAGGCTCAAATGTGCTTTTTCCTTGCTAAGAGTGATTATCAATCCAAAAACCTTATAAAGGCGGAAACCTCCTCAACTTGATAATTTCTCCATTGTTAGGGTTGCACGTGAATGACGTGGTAATTTAGGAAATGGTGCTGAATTAGGTGTCAAATTAAACATGGGCTTCCTCATAATAAACCAAAGTAGTTGTGTAGGCACACCACAACAAAATGGGATTGTTGAGTGGAAATAAAGAGGATATCTTGGAATCTATGATTGGTGTTGAGTAACAAACACAACACCGATATAGTAATATAGTATAATATAAAGTTAAAAACAATCTATGTTATTTATTGATGTTATGGTAAGTAGTGAATTTGAGTATAATTAATTGATAACCCAATGAAGATGAAGGATTCCCAACACCTTAAAGACTCCAAGATGCCAAGTTGGTGATATAATCAAACAATCATCTCTTGCAGCTTTTCACTAGCAATGCGACATAATTTGAAGTAGCCACATAGCTAAACCAAACTCATTTTCAGGACTTTTATACCGTTATTGGTAGGCTTGTTATGGTTCCAATCCAACTCATATGACCCAGGGGAACACCCAACACATTCACTTCAATTTTTGGAAAAAATTCCCGAAATTGGCTTGAAAAGGTGGATTATAGCCTTTAGTTTTGGACAATTTTCGACTTGTCTAGACTCTTAAAGGAAACATGCTAGGGTGCTCATATTGACCCCACAACACCTTTGAGAGCCCATTTTGGTGGTTGGAACCGTTCGTTTACAACTTAAGATTCCCTTCATTAACTCAAGACCACCACGGGACTTAATATGGGATCGACTGGTGATCATATATGGTTCCAAACAAAATCATATGACCTTGGAATGCATTCCCTACATTATATGACCTCAACCAAAAAATTATTGTTTTTGTTATTTTCCTCTCTCTCACCCAGCAACCAACCAGCTCTCCGCTCTCCCTCTCTCTGAACCTAAGAGTCAATTAGTCATGCACAAGCTACACATCCTGCTTGACTTGAAGTAAGTCATAGCTAGGATCTTGTACTTATAGAAGGTACAAATTTTGTTTTGATTGGTCGTGTCTTAGAAGACTGGTAAAATAGCTTATGATGCAGGCAATCATATTATTATGGTAGCATATTTACACTTGCCAAGAATATAAGACCATTAAAGTGATACTTACCAGCATTTGTCATTGGCAAGATAAAGAAGAAATTTAAAGAAAGGCCCACAAGAGCATTGATAGTGTCAGAACTGATAGCCCATACAGGATCACCCTGTCATATGTGCAAAATAAACTTTTATAGTTAAAAAGAGAGGTCAAACTTGCATAGCACAATGCTAGCAATTGTTCAGATAATCATATTCTATTTGAGACAATAGAAACAATTAAGTTCAATTCTTCAATATGTAAGATCACAAGGCATTAGAAAATTAGAAAGTACAAGAACATGAAAATATCAAACATAAAGCAGGAAATTCTCCGTCCCCTTTTCTTGCAGAATGGGTTGGAGGGTGGGGTGGGGTGGGGTGGGGGAAGGAGGTGTCACAGTGAGGGAGAGTTTGTGGGCATGGTCAGCTTTCTATGGAGCAAGAGTGCAATCAGATTTAAATCATTTAATTGAACGCATCCCCTCCCCCACCCTCCCTTCTCTCCGTCCTCTCTTGTCTACAGTAGAAGAGTATATGATTCCATAAAATTGGTTATTAGTATTGAAGTAGAGGGCAAGAGAGAACTTTGATCAGTACTTAGGAAGCTTCACACTACCGAAAATCGAGATTGTTCAGAAGAAGGGAATTCAAATTGTTGGAAAAGAAGAAAATAAAGTCTCAGAAGCTGGTTAGATAAAATTCAGTCCATTCATGTGCTAAAAAAGATGAAGATAACATGAATGACCTTTCCTTATCAAGAGACTACATTGCTACAGTTCCAAAGCAGATGAAAGCAACTGTGTAGGTTGTCAGTTTGGAAATATCATATTTTTGTGAAAATCTATAGATTTTGAAGACAGGAAGGTGTCATCTCTTGCAGGTATCTTGTGTTTTTTCTAATGGAGATACAAAAGAGTAATACACCAACTTGTCTGTACATTATGATACAATGAATTTTCATTGGAAAAAAGCCTTTTAGTATGGTTGAGATAAGCTAGAAGCCTTATTTACTTCTTTGGTCATCTGTAGATAACAATATATGAGGCGGTACAGGAGAAGCAAGAGGCACAAGTTGTGGCAAGCTGTGATTTTTGCTGTTATGTGGATATGCTTTGGTTGAAGACTTGAAGAGGAATAATAGAATTGAATTTACATGATCCTGTTTTCTTCGGCAATGATGTTCTTATGGGATCTCATAGTATTCAGCTTATGCTCGAGGTGCATGCCCCTTTCAGATGTAATACATGATTGGTACTCGTTATACTTTTGCTTGAGTTTTTTAGACTTTCAGCCCCCATCTTTTCGAAACTTCGTGAACTGTATCAATGGATTTTCTTTTCTTATTTAAATGAGTATCAAGGAGAAAGTCAGTAGAGCATAAGGAATTTTCCACGAAATGAGATTGGCCTGATCTCCACAATATTAGACCAAGTGTATGTAAGTGGAAAACCAATGGTTATCAGGTAACACGAATGAGTCCTCCCAATAGGCTCATGCATGTGTACATGGACAGCAACTACACAATAAAAATTCTATTTTGTCGGAGCATGGGAAGGTATAAATATAAAGTATTCTTACTCTAAATTAACCCTTATTAACCAAACAACACAGAAATAGAGTAAAAGATATGACCCAAAAGAAAGAGATACTACCAACTAAAAGACTGACTCTCTCTCGATTATTAACCTCTTTGAAATGAATTCAGTCCTATGATGTCTTGCCACAAAAGTAACTCAAGAAACTCTTAAATAAGTATCAAAGTTCAAATTATGTCATACACTCATGTCTCAACTTCAAAAGTTAAATGATATATATCTCCAAAAATGACGACCATTCCGCCACAGTAACCACAGTACCAGGGCCCAGGGGTGTGAAAGATGAGCATCTTACTCTAAACTATCCACTACTACAGTACTACTCCACCTTCAACATCACAAAGATACCGCAATTCATTTATATAAAGGACGACCCTGATATAAATTCAATCATATTCTAAATGCACGATATAATTAATTTCTTCTTAACAGGACCAATAGGAACTAAAAATCATGCTAAGGTGTAAATTCAAGATAAGCAGAATATGGAAAAAATTACTAGAATTTGCTTATCACTCGAATTTTCTTTAACTACAAGAGATGTATACAATTTCTCATTACTTCTATAAATGCAAAACAATAGAAAACTATGAGGAACATATAAAATGTCAGTAGTACTCCATAAATAAATTCAATTGAAATTTCGATGGCTTCGAAAATTATTAGATCTGACAAAACATTCCCCTAACAAAACGAGACTCCAATTCTATTCAAACAACAGCATCACAATTCACGACAACATAATTTCAATTAATTTATACCTTATGTTACATTCCATCAAATAAAATTTAAAAATAAAAAATAAAAAAAATAATCAAATATGACAGAAAATTAGGGCAAAATTAAATAGCATAAAAGGGGAGAGAGCATACTAACAGGTGCAAAAGGAAGCAAAAAGAGCCAAACAATGTAGACCCCTTCCATAACCCACAACACTGCTTGTGTTAATTTTCTACGAAAAGATTCAGATTCAGATTCATCTTCAACTTCTACACTTACTAACCCAGAATTCTTTCTATTCGACGAGCTTCGAGTTGCATAACAAGGAATTGTGAGTTGAAAATGGCGATTTGGCGGAAAATTAAGGGTAGTTTTTTGGGGGATTATGAGTGGAATATGATGATGATGACAGAGAGAAAAGCGTCGAGAAATGGAAGGTTTAGGAGGTGGTTGAGAGGTGTGGAACAGAAGAGCTCGAAGTGGAGTGGCTGTTGACGAAGCCATTGTTGTCATCTTCAAGGTACTGAAAGTTGTGATGAAGAAGAGAGAGAATGGTTATTGGTTTGATTCCTGTGTTTCATGGCAACGTGGCGCCAAATTGATCAGAGATATAAAAGTCACCTGCATTTTTTTCTAACAATTCCAAATTGGTCAACAAAAGTCAATAACCTAATATTTAAGGTCACTTGACACGTGTCAAGTCGTAAGTGGTCTAAAAAATTAAAGAAAAAATCAATAAAAAAAAAAATCAAAACCTCCCCCTGAAACCGCCCCACCCCCTTAAAACCGGCCCCAACTCCCTCTCCCCACCCCCTAAACCAGGAATAGCCACAATCCCAGCCTTGAAACCGCCACCATAAAACCCAAAACCAACTATAACCATCCCCATCCCCTCCCCCAACTCCCGATTCCACCAATAACACCAACCCCAACCCTTAAAATCACCCCCACCCTCGAAACCACCATAAACGCAGCCCCTTCCCTTTCTATCTCCTCTAATTGCAGGAAAACACAAACAAAGGAAGTGACAGGTGGGTTTTTGATACGAGGAGTGAAAGGAATGGTGTCCTTCGAACAAGTGTATTATTCCGATAGAGGGTTCAGATTCAATTACGGATTTAATTATTCAGTGAAGTCAAGTGATCGGAAAGTTGGGCTAGAGGCCATCTCCGATCAGTGAGATTAATTATATTAATCTCACAGCTTTCCTTTAACTAAACCTAACGGGTCACACCAAAGTGTGCAACCAAACTAAGGCGACGAAAGCCAAAGGCTTTAATACGTCAAACAAAAGGATACGTACTCCGACGTCAGATTTCGAGCTTAGAGTGTCGAAGCCGAACGTCAAACGTCGAGTTAAATTCTAAGAATTAACGAGACGAACAAATAAGTCAAACAACAATAATAAAGTCAAAGTGCATAGCCATAGCCTCGCAATGGCCTAGCTATGCGAGGGCTAGGCCAGCGCATGCTGCCACAAAGCTAGCACCGGCGGCAAGCCTAGCTTGGTGCACGCACGCACTAGCTGGGCCTGCTGATCGAGTGCATGCAGCTGGCTAGCATTGGCCGCAAGCCCAGCAAGCCATGCGCATTGGACTGCGGGTAAGAATGTCCAATGCGCTGCTTCTCCTGGGTCTGATTGGTATTGACTCGTAGCACTCAAGGCATACTATACATCCGGTCTAGTACATATCATGGCATACATGATCGATCCACTGAGCAAAGCATATGGAATCTGACTCATCCTCTCTCGTTCTTTAGGTGTCTTTGGACACTATTTCTTGTTGTGAGTTATGCCATGTGACATGGGTAGGTGACCTCTTTTGGCTTCCTCCATATTGAATCGTGCCATTACCTTATCGATGTAAGTACTTTGGCTCAATCCAATCATCCTTTTAGATTTATCCCAATAGATATTGATGCTCAATATGTACTGCGCCTCTCCCAAGTTCTTCATTGAAAAACACTTTCCAAGCCAAGCCTTTACAGACTCCAACATTGGATTGCTGTTTCCAATGAGTAATATGTCATCGACATATAAGACAAGGAATTCGATGTCACTCCCACTGACCTTCATGTAAACACATGACTCATCTGGATTCTTGATAAAACCAAACTCACTAATGGCTTCATCGAATTGCAGATTCCAACTTTTGCTTGCCTGCTTTAGTCCATAAATGGACTTCTTAAACTTGCATACCTTCCCAGCATTGTTTGGATCTACAAAACCTTCCGATTGTGTCATGTACACAGTTTCTTCCAAAATCCCATTAAGAAAGGCGGTTTTGACGTCCATTTTCCATATCTCATAATCATAATATGCGGCAATTGCTAGGATAATCCGGACGGACTTAAGCATGGCGACTAGCAAAAAGGTTTCATCATAATCAACGCCGTGAATTTGCCTGTAACCTTTTTCCACCAATCTAGCTTTGTATACATATACATTTCCATCTTTGTCAGTTTTCAACTTGAAAAACCATTTGCAACCGATAGGTGTGTAACCTTCGGGCAAATCAACCAAGTCCCAGACTTGATTTTCAAACATGGAGTCCATCTCGGATTTCATGGCTTCTTGCCATTTTGCAGAGTCAGGGCTCGTCATAGGTTGTTTATATGTCGCTGGCTCATCTTCATCCATAACTAGGATGTCTTGATTCTCGGTTAAGACAACACCGAGGTATCTGTCTGGTTGAGATCTTGGCCTTTGCGACCTACGTAGGGTAATAGGTTGAGCATTTGCTTTGTCATTTTGACTTTGACCATTTTCAACAGTTTCTTCCAAAGCATTTTGATTGTCAGTTTTGTCAGTTTGACTTTGTTGCTCACCTTCTCGAACTTCATCAAGTTCGATTTTCCTCCCACTTGTCATTTTGAAAAGATATTCCTTTTCCAAAAAGACACCATCTCGAGCAACAAATATTTTGTTCTCAGATTGGTTGTAGATGTAATACCCCTTGGTTTTTTTTGGATATCCCACAAAGAAACACTTATCAGATTTTGGTGCAAGCTTGTCGGATATGAGTCTTTTGACATATGCTTCGCATTTCCAAATCTTAAGAAAAGACAACCGTGGAGGTTTCTTCGTCCATAATTCATATGGAGTCTTTTCGACAGCTTTTGATGGAGCGTGGTTCGGTGTATGTGTCGCGGTTAGAAGTGCGTGTCCCTAGAGAGAGATAGGAAGATCGCTAAGACCTATCATTGATCGAACCATGTCTAATAGAGTTCGATTTCTCCTCTCGTGCACTTCATTCCATTGTGGAGTTCCAGGAGGTGTCAATTCTGAGAGAATTCCATGTTCTTTCAAATGATCGTCAAATTCGTAGCTAAAATATTCGCCACCTCGATCCAATTGAAGTGTTTTGATTTTATTGCCAAGCTGATTTTCCACTTCACATTAAATTTTTTTGAATTTCTCAAAAGATTCAGATTTGTGTGACATATGGTAGACATAGCCATATCTACTAAAGTCTTCCGTGAAAGTGATAAAATAGCGATAACCATTTCTTGCGGTTGTGTTCATTGGTCCACATACATCCGTGTGTATAAGACCCAATAAGTCACTAGCCCTATCTTCCAACTTGGTGAATTGTTGCTTTATCATCTTGCCTAGTAAGCATCCTTTGCAGTTTTCAAACGAATCTAAGTCGAATGAATCAAGAATCCCTTCATGAAAAAGTTTCTTGATGCGTTTGATGTTAATATGGCCAAGACGACAATGCCACAAGTAGGTTTGATTCGATTCAACTGTCTTAGCTCTTTTGGTGGTATCATTAACATTTGTCTAGTCACATTTAGAATGTGTAATCCCATAAAACATACAAGCAAGACATTTAAAACAACCATTGTTATAGTCTTATGAGCAAAACATCCCGGCGTCCAACGCCATAGATCAAAATATGTTCGATGGTAAGCAAAACATAATAAAACAAGAATCAGTTCTATTACAAGCCAAAGACAAATAATGTGCCTACAAGCATGACGGAAGGACCATCTTCATTGTCCGCTCGTAGTTGCACATTCACTTGTGAAGCCCTCACACTTGGTCTCTGAAGATAAGAGCATAAAGTGAGTCATACATGGTATCCAATACCTATGAATAGCTTATACACAAGTGTTAATGAAGATACCTGAGGTAGATGGAACATTCCTCTTTTGCTTATCTTCTCGGAAGATCTTGCATTCCTTCTTGTAGTGGCCTTGCCCACCACAATAGAAGCATCACATCTTTGCTTTGTTCTTGAACTTCTTCTTCTTCACTATCAAGGGCATCTTTGTAGCACCATAGGAGTCGGCCTTGCGAAGAATTTGCACCACCTCATTCAATGAGTATGACTCTTTCTTGGCTGCCATATGAATCCTAAGTGCATCAAAGCCCGGTAGCACCTCATCCAATGAGTATGACTCCTTCCTGGCTGCCATATGCATCCTAAGTGCATCAAAGCTCGGGTGGAGTGAGCCAAGCAAGATATGACCCGCCATCTCATTCTCTAATGAGATTCCAAGTAGCTCCCTGTGTTTGAAGAGCCTAGTCATTCTAAGCACATGAGGTTGAAGGGGCATACCAGGTCTCAATTTGGTATTGTAGACCCTAGACCAAACTCGGTACCTTGGCAAGGCAACCTTTCTGTGGGGCCTTGATTTTTATGTATACAAATGACCTAGTCAAATTATGAACATTCAAGTCCCGAGTCTCGGAAGACATGTTGACTAGATCCTTAAGACTATTAAGAAGCATGTCGGGAAGGTATGAGGTGAACTTCCTCTTCCAATCCTCTAGAAGGGAGTTCCTCATCAAATTTGTGACCTTGTAACAATATAAGGACCAAGTTTCATGATTTTCATCACTCATGAGTCCCTTAGAGGAGAAACTTGGAATTGGAGAGTCCAATATGTACTCCATGGAACTATTCCGTAGAGTTCTCCGGAGTTCTTCTTCCCATTCCTTGAAATTGACCAAGTTTAGGCTAAAAGCCAACTTATCGAGGAGTTCCGGGCACATGTTGTTGTTGTTAATTGCAGACATTTTTCTACAATTGAAAGAATTTGCAATGAAAAACCATTCATAAAACCAATAAGTTTGAAATTTAAAGTATACATGCAAATTTTCAATCTTATTAAGAGTTTTATCCACACATTTAAAATTGTCCCTTTTACGCGAGAATAAAACGATTCCAAGACCCCAAAAATTAGAAAGTGATTAAGCATGCTTTGGCTTGTCTTAACACTTAATATTTTAAGGTAAGCAATCCAATTGCTAATAGCTCTAAGCTACTCTTGGTTCGATAAAATGTCGCATCTAATGCTTCCTTGACGTTTATCTCCATTGCCACGACATCTATGGACTCCTTACTGATATCGTTGAGTTTAACCAAAACTAACGTGTATGCGCTTCCCTAGGAAAGTAGTAACGCCTTGCTTTGGCATAGCCTAGTACTATTCTCATTAGTTCCGTAATTGTCATTTTGGAATGACAGATTTAACTCAATTTTCTTTAAGACTTAGGGTTTCTATGTTGGTTAATTTAAGTGAACTAAACTAATCATTCAACATTCGAAATCCTAAACATGCATCTAACATCGCAATTATATATAAGAAAAATACATAAAGCATAACTAAAGATGCATTTGGCAACTAGCATGACCCCTTGAACTTGAGTCTTCAAATCTTCAAGAGCCTTCGTTGCATCCTCTTGGCTTCGTCTTCTTAGAAACGCCGTCTTCGACACATTACCATCAATTATGAAACTACTAGAAAAACTAGGACTAATCTAAATAATTTAAGTACAAAAATACTTAACGGCATGTAGTCCGTATTTAGATTTACAAAAATACAAACGGAACGCAGTCTGTATTTACTATCCTAGTTGGGCCCCACTAGTTGCCATTTTGTAAAACCTACATTAGAATATATGTTCCATTCATCCATTCACTAATGTGAATGGCCCATGTATTATACAAATAATTCAAGTAACAAT